CTCCATTGTCTGACATGGTAAATTTTTGCAAAATCCCCCGGCAAGGGTCTTCCTTCCAGGTGGATTAATTTTGCAAGTCCTGTCTAATGTAAGGACCCACCCCACTTTGCATCTTAAGAAGACAGAACTCTTGGAATAATTCTTCCAACAGGAATCCTTTATTAAGAGAAAATGGTTGCAGGCATGCTAGACAGGACTTGGGGTTCAAGCTCTTCCATTCAAGGTTTTAAGGGGTTCCCCAGTAGTCCCACCCAATCAACCCCCCTTCCAGTGATAGTTTCAAGTATCACAATTCCACCCCCTTTCTTCTTTCTTCCGTCTGAATGGAGACTTCAGGTAACTACATGAAAGGCAAGTACCCTGCTTTGTTATGATAAGGTTCTCTAGTGCTAATGCTTTGATGTTACAATAAACACACATTCAGCATTCAGCTCTTTGAAGTGTACTGAAGGAAGTGAGGGCCATAAAGCCCCTTTGTTCTCCCCCTTCTCTCCCTCTTATGGCAGAATCCAAAGAAGGCAGAATTGGGAGTTTCTATATTTGATAATTAAAGATGAAATATGATTGGATTCTGACACACTGCTGGCTTCAGTAAAAGATTACAAACTTCCACTTTGTCCCAGCCCTTCCCCCTTGACCAGTTCGCCTTCGGCCAATGGTGAGCCTCAAAGGTGTTTTGAGAACATTGGATATTTGGAGTAATCCACATTCCATTCTCAAGCTTCATGGCTTTGAAGACTGACACCTCTGGTTTCCATCAAACTCTCATCCCTCTTTCCTTTTTACCATCTATGCCCCATGCATATTTATTGCCCATTTGCCCTCCCTCTAACAGTTGATTGCAGGATGCCAGCAAGGCACCAAGGCGAAGATGGCAAAGCTGACAGCATCTGTGAAATAATTAGGATAATAGCTCTTTGTTAAAGTCACAGTTGATTTTCATTTTCATTCATTTCATTCATTCATCCATCTCTCCTGGTGATTTATAGAGAATATTTCTTATGAATTTGTCTCTCTATTCTACAACAGGTGATATATGTCACATCAAAGCAACTGATCTTTGCATCTTTATTCAGATGACTAAATTCCTGCTCTGCCCTAGAATGGTTGCATATTTTACAAAATATTCTTCATATTCTTCATCCTGAAATAGAGAATCTTATAATATCATCCCTTCAAAGTGAATGTGAGAATTGGAGCAAACATAATACAATCTTATGAATCCAGTGCAGTTGCAAAAATACAATCCTGTCAAAATTAAATAGTAAATTGCCTGATGTCAATGAATCTAAAAAAGCTTCATTCCTGATTGTCACTCACATTTGTTCAACTGAGGGTGATACTTAAAAAGCATCTCTGAAAAGGCAGAAACTCTTTCAATATCAGCCAAATATTCAGTAAATGCATTACAATATTCACTGTATGGAATACTGTTTCTCAATAACTGATAGCTAGAACATAATGTTGTATCTTAGAATTTCTGATCTTTGGATTTTGCACAGCACTACCCTATGTCCTGAGTCCTCTAGAGCGACCCTTTTATCTAAATTGATGTTCACTCACTCTTTTCTTCAGGAGTAGCAAAATTTCCAGGGCAAATGGTATTTTGTCATGGCAAGGACTGTTTCACTTGGCTCCTTCTTTAGCAAAGCCATCAAACCAAATGTAGCATATAATGAATTTCATCTTTATATTCAATGGCATTTGCAGTTTCATACTTGATTCCTATCACTGTCCCAACAATTAACAGAGGTCATCAGTTCTAAATGTTTTCAACTATCTAATTATGAATTACATTTAAATGTTCAAAATTTGAAAATAGAATAGGATAGGACATGACAGGACAGGACAGATGGGATAAGATGGGATGGAATGATAGGATGGGGTTGGATGGGGTAAATTTAGCCTTAGTTTTGTCTTTAGTCTTACTTTTTACTTGGTACTTCAAGGTCAAATTTCTCAACAGAAGGTAAAGGTAAAGTTTCTCAACAAAAACTTTGCATCTTGTTATCTATATTAAGCTATATTAATATTAAGTTATTCATCTTAAAAAAAAATTCTGCTAGCAGATTTGTTCTTCAACAAGATTTGAAAGATAATTTATAGCCCCAATTATTTGGTAGAAGATTAGATGTTGTAATTTATGAATGAATTGCTTATAGACATAAATTGTGTATGAATAATTACTATGAAATATGATCAGACTTTATTGCAATAGTATGTAAACTTTTAATACATAGATGTACGTATAAGAAACTCTCACATTACTTTTGTTCTTTTGTTGGTGTTTATTTCCTTTTCTATTGTTTTCTGTTCATTTTTAGGAAATAAGTAAAGGGGGGAAAGGCTACTCAGAGTTGGAGCCTGTAATCTTAAGACAAATGGGTGAACTTTCTGCCTCTAAACCAAAGAGAAAAATTCATCCAGCCAGATATTGCTAATATTTGTATTTCTTAAAACTAAAATCTATAATTTAACACTTTCCTCCTGAGCTGTTCTCCAACACCAAACAGAATTTCTTTTGTTTTTATTGTTTATCTAACTCAGAAGAAAAATAAAAACAAGAAGTCATATTTTTCATGTTTGAAAAGCAAACACAGATCCTTGGAGCCAGTTCACTATAGCTCTCCCCTCTCCAATAAATGAGCTTTGTTGCAAATTATAGTTTAGCTTCAGTTCCCTTGAGTGAGGGCAAAAAGCCTCCAAAGAGAACTGAGTTTCAATTGGCAATTTTCTTTCTCCTTTTTCGTTTCCTAATTGAAACCAAATGTGAAATATGTTGGATTGTGGGATTTCTGGCCTGATCCCAGGAATCCTCAGAATGCTAAATTGTTCGCAAAGGCATCTTGCATCAGCCGACAGAAGTTTCTTTCCAGCCCGGCTTCTCCATCTAGGCAGAGAAAGCAAGAACTATCTACTTTCCTTTAAAGTTGTGGATTACATTTCTGGAAACTTCCTGATTTTCTCTGCTGAAAGGTCATTTTAACACCCAGGTACGGACTTTATGATGCTTTTTATAAACAGACAACCAAACTTTCCTCCTCTCCGTCTATCTGGTGGAAGGAGCGAAATGGATATCTCAGCCATTTCTCAACAAAAGACTAGTCTGGTTTGGAACAGTGTTAGGGGGAAAAATGAGGTTATGTGAAAGAGGACATTATGTATTTTCCTGGCATTCCTACCATAAAAAAAGATAAAATAACTATGGTTCTTTAAAAAAAATGTTTGCATGGCAGGCCAGGCTGGTTGATTACAGATTCCACTGATGGAGTCAAAGAGAAGGCTCTGAAGCCGCAAAACTTCAGGTATTTCTTGTTTTTGTGGCTAATTGAGCTTCAGGTTGTTGATTCAGTAGCTAAGAATTCCATTTGCATTAAGTTGTTTCTCTTGGGAAATTATGAGACATTTCCAGCCTCTCTCTTCCATTGGATGTGCGGGGTGTCTCGTGACAACCCTGTGTTCATGATTATTTGTCCTATTGTTGGTGGCGCCTGTATCTTTTCCTGGCAAAGCCACTTGGATCAAGGTCAGAAAGGCCCCAGAACCTATGCTTTTTCTTTTTCTTTTTTTCTGGGAACTCTAGGCCCAGTGGGAAGAGAGCAAAGCTTACAGAATGAAGGGATGGGGGTGGGGAGTTAACTCTGCTGGTTTCAAATAAGGAAACAGCATTTTAACATATTTTAAAGACTGCTACATATATATCTGTATTATAAGATACGATATACTTTCTAAAGATGCATGATTATTTTTTTTAAAAAACTTAAATTTAAACATAAATGATTGGGAAAGGTGGATATGGAAGTTGTTATTGATTCTGATTCCTTGTCAGGTATACATTTGGGGACAAATGGATTCTTCCTATTGCATAACTTATGAAAAGTCTTTGGATGCATGAAAAGTAAGATATTTCAAAATCACATTATACTAGAAGTAGAGAAAGTTGACAGAAACATCTGCCTTCTCTTTAGATTAAATTAAACAATATACTATTAATTAGGCTCAATTAAATTATGGAATTCAATTCAAAATAAGTGGTGATCATCAGTGGCTTTAATTGCTTTCAAAAGGTTCAATTAAAAGATTTTAATCAAAGACAACCAATGCACATCAAAGCAAAATGGAGCTGCCAGAGGCAATATAAGCTTTTATTCTTATTTACACTTTTTTTTTGCTGTTCTAATAGATAGATGACATTCAGGATAAATTAGATGACATTCAGGACAGATTAAGGTCTGTTTACTGGGAATAATCAGTAGAGAAAGCTGCTGTCTTGTGACATTCGAAATAACTGGCTGGATGTTATTGGAAGTAAATAAACAGTGTCCTGTTCTAAATGGACCCCTCTGATCTTAATGTGCTGTTCATGTATTTTTCTTTAAAGAGCATAGCTATTGGTGTGTTTACTGTTACATTTGCTTAACATAGTGCAATTTGTTGCATATTGCATGATGCCTAGAAGTTTTTTTTCAAAATCTATTAGCAATCTATCTCAAAGCCAGAAACTCCAACAAATGGGATAATACGGTTTATAAATGCAAATGTTGTATGTTCAGTGCTGTGGGGTTTAGGTATAGTGGGAAACTCCTCCATATTTTAAATTTTAGTAGTAAATAGCCCTGATTCCAGTTAGATTCTTTTTCATTCAGAATATTTAGTAATGGAAAAAATGAATACATTTTCAGAAAGAAATAATACTGAGCATGTCATTTAATGACACTTAGTTATTGCTTGAGTTTGCAGAAGAATTCTGTGCTTTCACTTAATAAATGACATAGCTTGAATCAAAGACATATTTCATATTTTGAAAATATTTCTGGACTGTCTCACAACATGGGAACCAGAATGGGTCTGCCCACTCACCAAGGGCAACAAGGTGCAGAGTGCTTCCGATCTCTCCTTTCTGCTTCCCAGGATGCTTCTTGCCACCTCAGCCTACTTTTTTCTCTTTTCGTAATCAGGTGCTTTCTCTTACCATAAAGTGCAGGTATGCAACCACTTACCATTATGTCCAAGAATGTATCTGATGTTGAGACAGACACTTTGCTTTGCATCCTTTTACAGTAGTGTCCTCTTTATGTATTACTAGTTAATAGACTCTAAAAATGAAATCAAGTGAGAGATTGACTAGTGAGTACCAAGAAGGATATTGCCCAATACATTTGTGCAAATAAATCTGCTGAGTACTCAAGGTTTCAGTTGCCTTAGAATCCCAGTCACTTACAAACTAATAGGCTTTCAAATATTTTCAGTCAAAAGATCTCTAAAATAGTTTTTAGTAAGCAAAAACAATGAAAATGCAGTGGGAAAATTTGGAAAGTTACAAATGAATAACACTGAGATAATGCAATAGTACTGATGTAGAAAAGCTTTCGCCAACAATAATACAAAGTATAAACTCCTCCTAACTCCCTTGCCCTCATCCTCAATCAAATCATGAATAACAGGAGTTTTATTTTCGTTCCACTGTTACTGAATAGCAGAATTATCAGACCTAGAGATCAACTGTTAAGACAACAAAAAATCTTGAGGCTGTCAATGAGAAAGTGAGCAAGGCAGTGAAAGAATAAGAGAAGAGTCCTAAAATGTCTATTTTCTCTTTCTCCTATTATCCAACTTGAGTCTCATAGAATACTACTTCTCCACACAAGGAGACAATAAATCAGAGACGGTAAAAACAAATAGCATAATGCTTGCCAAATGCGGTAACCAATATAGTTCTAAAATAAAATAACATTAAACAGAATAGAATCTATATATATATATACCCAGAAATTTCCAGCAATAGAACTTGGAAGGTTATGAAAATAAATCTCTATAATAGCAATAGCATTTTGACTTATATACCACTTCACAGTGCTTTACAGCACTCTCTGAGCGGTTTACAACCTCATTGTATTGCCCCCAATAATCTGGGTCCTCATGGAAGGCTGAGTCAACCTTCTTAGAAAATAAAAATGATAGGAGAATATAGCCCAGCTTCATTTGAAAACCACAGCCTTCCCATCCTCACTTGGAAAGAGGAAAAATATATCCTGGGCATTATTCAGCATGATGTGGGAAGTGGAGCTACAAGGTAGGTGTCAAACTGTCCAATGGGTGGATCTAGAAAAAAAAACTTGTGGGGCATTATTTTACCAAGAGTATAATATTTACTGAATAAACCATATTGGCACAGACAAAGTGAAATCAGCTCTGAGTTTCCCATGCAAAAGCTAGCATTATTAATCCCCCATTTTCCCTGTGGGCCACCCACAATCCATTATATCCACTAACCACTTCTGTTCATTTTGTTATGGGAACCTAGTGAGCCACGCTAGTCTACCTGCTCAGTGTGTCCTTGGATTGGAGCACTCTCATGGGAACAGACGAGGCTCAGACGCAATTGACCCCTTGCATTCCATCCCCCCTCCTCAATTTTCTTTGTCAAGCTGGGAACAAAGTCGGAATATAGGTGAAAGTGCAAATCAGTCTTGACAATAGGTAGATAAGATAATTGAAATAATGGATCTGCACTTGTTCACAAATGGATCACTCAGCCATTTGGTCAGAGTACCTACAAAATCTTTTCTACCATCACATCAGGCTCTGTAATGGAATATGTGGATGACCTTGGGGAATTAGTGGAAGAAAAGCTGCCTAGGAATCAACCAGACAAGAGAGGCAGGAGCCCCCAAGGCTTAAAGGCCAGAGAAAGAAACTTAGGAATGACTAGCCCTAATGAATCAAGCAGTTAAAAGGGGCAGAGGGAAGTCTATGCTTTCATGCTTGTATTATTCTGTCAATGTAGCTTTACAATAAAGTAGAGTTAATTCAATTAGTCTGTTTCCTGTCTGGGTTATCTGGAACTGCAGACAGGATCCAAAATAAATGGCTTGTTCAGTGTACTGCCTTATGTACAAAATGAAGAACTTTTTTTTTTTTAGCTCTTCTCTTCCTTCCTAAGCTGTGTTTCAAGCTCTAAAGGGAGAGATGGAGTGTTTGATATTGTAAAAGGAGTTTTCCCATGAACCCAAATCAAGAAACATAGTGAATGTGTGAGATATGGCTGGTTGCTTAAGGCAGATCCTGAATCAGACAGACTTTATTCAATAGTTTTCACAATATTTTCAGCATCTACTCAGCTAATCCATTTTTCATTTAGTATGGATTTGTCCATAACTACACAGATGTTGAAAATACTGCAAAGGCCATCGTACAATATTTTAACAGAACTTTATACATCTTCAGAGGAAGCAAGTACTGGAAATAATTTGTCATTTGGTACTCAGTAAAACTATGCCTTTTGAAATTCCAAAATTTTGTAATAATTACTTTAGATGGTACTTACATTCTCTTTTCAGTAAGTTTTACACATTCACAAACATAATTAACAGCTATTTTACTGTTTAAAAAAGTTATAGCAAAGGCGAATTGTGAAGCAATAAACAAATAAATAATAATTCTGAAAACTATTTTCCCCATATTTGCTGTCCTGTTTGTCACTTGCTTCTGTAGATTGCATCCGAAGAAGTTGTCACATCTGGTGGTGCCCAGTTTGAGAAAGGCAAAGTCATGTAGGGTTTTAAAGATTAAAATTAACTTCTTAAACTGAATTCCTTTGCTTTCGATATTGGAATGATGTAGTCAGATTATCGTTGGTATATATGTCATGGAAGGATTATTGGGGGGGGGGGGTTAATTCTTGTACATTGCCCAGAGTCACTTGTGTGAGATGGGTGGCCATGTAAATAAATGAATAAATTTTGTGTAACACTTAGCTTTTTAGTTGCTTTAGTTTATATCAGTTGAATTAACAAGATAATCTTTTAAAGGTAGCATCAAGTAAAACATGTTGTTGTAGTTTAACACATTGACAGTGTCAGAGCAGAGGGCTCAGGGATGATTATACTGGTGCACTACATATAATTATTCTTTGCTTAAAGATCTAGGCACAGTGTAGAACTAAGAAGTTGTCAGGCACGAAGAATTAGGATCATACTATAAGTTCCAGTTAAGATGATTTATTGCTCATACCTATACACAAGACTCTAGTTAACTATTGGTCAGCACTAAATTGGTGCTATATAAGAGTTAATAAAATTCAAGGTGGGACTCTTACTGTTCACCTTTATCCAAACCATTAATAATTTTAGCCAATGTTCAGAAGCATTCAATTTGTTTTTGGAGTTAGATGAAAATAGCAAAAGAACTATACATAATCTCCACATTGTTGATTATGTCTTTTTATTCTGTTCCAAACTGAACAGGTTGCTTTCTGTCCAATCCAAACAGATAGATAACTCAGAAGAATAAACAATAACTCACTGTTATGTAGATCCATCCAGAAACATACTTTGCAATATTGACATTGGATTTTCCCCTCCTCTCTTCCTGAGCGTCACATGTTGGTGAGGCTCTCCTAACCGCGTGGCTAGGAACCATGCGGCTGGTGAACAAAGGATCCCATCTGGCTTGTGTCCAGGAAGTCTCTCAATGACCTTTGATACTCCTCCCACTGACCCATCAACATACGTAGCATTTAACCCAATAACTGCCAGATACTCCAACACACTGATACCTGCTCTCTAGTTAGGGCTACATAGAGCTATACGGTCCATGGAGTTATACGTTCCAGAATACTCCCCACTTGGAAATTTATATTTCCACTACTAAAATAGTAAAAACATAGCATCAAGGCATGCAATACTCATTGTTAACTAACTTGTGACTAAAAGGTAAAAACTTGGTATCAAACATGCATAACTATTGGTAAATATAAAACATGCACAATTATGAAAAAGGCAAATGTTACATCAAACAATGCATAAGACAATACATAGTTTGAGGTTTGATCTTCTGGTTCAGTCTTCATCAGCAACGGGAACAAATCGGTTATCAGCCTGGTACAAGTGTCTTTGAGTCACGACCTGACTCACGTGGCTTCACGATCTGGACCTCAGCTGGGCAAACTAGTTCACCAAGTGGGTGGACCTGGTGTGCAAGTCCCATGGGCCAATAGTTCTGGTATGCAGTCTTGTCTCCCAGTGAGACAAGGTCTTCTTCCTGTGAAGGAAACTGGAACCAAATCTGGAACAGAAAAAACTAGAACCCAAGCTTCTTGGGAACAAGGAGAACTGGATTCACAGGATACTCAGGAACTGAAGAACCTGGAAAGACATAAACAGCTGGATCTGGAAACTCAGGAACAGCTGGAATTGAAGAATCAGGATCAGGAACATCTGGAAACTCAGGAACAGCTGGAGCTGAAGAATCAGGAACAACAACTGGAACTGAAGAATCAGGAACAATAGCTTGAACTGAAGAATCAGGAACAACAGCTTGAGCAGAAAACTCAGGATACTCAAGAACCACCGGTGGAGTATTGAAGAGGGCTGCTACTGTTGTCGTCAGGGTAGTGAGGACTTCATGTGTGGGTGTGAGTGTTTTTAACGACATGGAGTCCGTGAAATTCAGTAAGTCCTTGCAGGCTCCTACAAGGCTAATTCTTGGGGTGCTGAGACAAGTGATCAACACGATCAAAAGTATGGCTAATTTCAGGTGTCTCCACTTAGACAGGGTTTTGAAGCGGATTGGTTGACGTTTACTGGGTGTCTGAGGTTGAAGGTTGGCACTTTGATCTGAAGCTGGAAGTGCATAATGTTTTGGTCTATGTGGCATCTGTCTATTTGGACAGACCAAGAACTCAAGACTTTCTAGCCAGATCAATTCTGTTAACTGTGTGGCAAGGCTGGGCCACTTCACTTGGTTAACAAAGTTCTTATTTGTTGGTGCATGTTGCCATTGTTCAGGGCTTAAGGATGTTTCAATCCTTTTCTCTCTGTTGCTTACATGGATGTAGGAGTGTCTGCTTTGTTTGCAGATGTAGCTTGACGTCACCTCGCTGTCTGCGTAGAAGATGGTGGACTGTAGTTCAAGGCACAACGTCTTTGCTGTCAAGTTGGTCAGCTTTACAGCCAAAGTGGTGCCACATAGCTCTAACCTTGGTACGGTGTCTCCTTCTTGCATTGTTAGTCTCGCTTTCCCTAAGAAGACACCAAGACTGCAGCACTCCCCGCTGTAGACTGATGCATCTTATGGTTGCAAACAAGGTAATGTAAGTGTGGCTCTCCCCACTGTAGAGTGAGACATATCTTAAGGCTGCAGTCGCCTTCATAGACACATCTAAGGAAGCATACAATTCTTTCTTCTGCACTGGGGCAGGTGAGCTGGAGACATACATACGTTGCACTTGCATGCTTTGGATACTTCTTGGGAGTATGCTCCATGACTCCCACTCTTGGAGACATTGTTTGTCTTGTTTGTCCTTCATGGACAAAGCTAAATTGTAGTAATTCTTGCTTGTCTGGAACACAGTTGCTTCCAAAACAGGTTTGGTTGTTACAAGCGCGCGATGTTCTAGGTGCGGTTGGAACACTGTTGCTACAAAAATAGGTTTGGTTGTCACAAGCATGCAGTGTTGTTCTAGGTGCAGTTGGAACACTGTTGCTACCAAAACAGGTTTGGTTGTCACAAGCGCGCAGTGTTGTAGGTGTGGTTTTATGGGCTCAATGGGGTGGCAACAGTGGGGAGATGTCGTGACCTAGGTATTGCGACATCAACTCTGTGGCTGACTGCCGTATCTGGTCGTTGAGATTCCTCTGGTCGCCTACTCGGTCTTGGGGGGCTTGTGGCTGGCTGTGGCGCTCTCACCTGTGCATTCTGGAATGCGCTTTGGTTGTCCATGTAGGCTTGTGCATGGCTACGACGCTCTTCCTTTTCCAGTTGCTCCCTATTTGGCAAGAAAGTGGTGTTCTGGAGTATTCTCTGAAGGCCCTTTGCTCTTGCCACTTTGTCTGCCATATCTCTTTGGCTTTGAACAAGTTCAAGCTCTTCTTGGGTGTCTTTTCTTTTGGCCTTCATTTTTGCTGCTATAGCTTTTCATTTGGCTTCCATTTGAGCTGCTTGATTTTCTCGATCGGCCTTCACTTTGATTGCTTCGGCTTCTAGCTTGGCCTCTATTTCGGCTTCTTCGAGTTCTATGGCCGCCAACTCCTTTTTCTGCCTCTCCTCTTGTGCCACACGAAAGACAGCTTCAGCAGCTTTAGTATCTATGATTATTTGCTCGGTTTGTGAGATTCGGGAGGTTCGGCTATGACAGGAGGATGCTTTCGAAAGGCAGGAGGCGCCTGTGACATGCGATCGTTGGGATTGTGCATGTGAATGGCGTGAAACCTCGGACTCGGCCCTGTTGACCAGTCTACTTCTCTGTTGAGGCTCGGGCTATGGGGAACCCGGTGAGCTCTCTAGAAACTTCTTACGTTCTTTGTTTAGTAGCTTGAGGGTTTGCATCTCGCTATCGATAGTTGAGTCTCTTAATTGTTCTTGAATGTCCTCGAGTTGCCGTTCAGAGCTCCTCCATTGCTCAAGGGCATCTTCTTTATCTTCTTCCAATTCACTCACCTTTTCAGGGGAAAGCTCTTCCTGAGGCTGTTGGTAGAGTTGGAGTAGTTTCCTCCAGTGTCTTTCATGGCGCTTGTAGATTGAATCCCATCTTTCCATCAGATGTGAGTGCCTGGCTGCTGTGGGCTTTCTTTGTTGTTGTAGATCGTATTGACCCTGACACATTTTTGGCTTTGTCGAGGCTTGAGCTTCAGCCTCTTTCTGCAGGTCGAGGTTGGCTGTTGGCAGCCTTTCTCCTTGGCCGGCTGGTTGGTGTATCTCAACTAGGCTGGTTGGTTGAACCCCTTCTGCTAGACCAACAGGACGCTCTGCTATGGCTAGGATAGGTTCAGTGTTATTCTCAGCTATTTTGAAGAGAATTTGAAGAACTTCTCTCTTTGACCACTAAGGGTCGCTACTTGTAGATCAGCTTCTGAGGTGCTGTCTGTGGGTGGAGATGCCACTGAGTGCGTTCTCCTGCGTTTGTGGGTACTTCAGTGCAGTTCACTTCTTCACCACTAGGGGTCACTTGCTGCGGGTCAGCTACCAGGATGCTCTGGCTTCGAGGTTCACCCTTAGTCCACTAGAGGGCCTTCTCTGGGTGCGGTTAAAGGGTTGCATGTAGTGCCTCCTTTAACCACTAGGGGGTGTCTGAAGAAAGGCCAGCCAAATTCTTCCTATTACCACGTTACTGCTAGTAGCCACTGAGAGAATGTAGAGGTACAAACTCCCACCTGGCAACCGTACTGCTAGTGGCCACTGAGAGAATGTAGAGGTACAAACTCCCACCTGGCAACCGTACTGCTAGTGGCCACTGAGAGAATGTAGAGGTACAAACTCTCACCTGGCTACCGTTGAGTTGCAGGCTGGGACCCTGGGTCATCAGCTGTGATGATAAGCAAGAGAATTGGCTTCGCTTTCTTCTGCCTAAGTTCCCTCAAACTGGAACAGCTTGGTGTTCAGCTTGAGTGAGTGAGTGAATGCTTCTGGTGAGTTCACTCTGTGCCTTCTAGGGGGTGTTGGTAGCTTAGGATAACTTCAAGTAGCTTGCACTCTAACTTTCAGATTCACTACGATGCTATTGGGGTTGGTTCTGCCTCTGTAACCAGATGCCTTGTCCCATAACATTGGCTGAAATTCCAAGCTATGGCTGGGAAGGAGATTAATTGCTTTCCTTAGTGACTTGTTGCTAAGGCAACTGGACTAATAAAACAGCATTCATCCGGAGAATTAATTGCCCTTTTATAGCCCTCGGGAGCCTCTTGCTGTTCTCTTTGGTGTTAGAAGTCAGGCTTTACATGCAAGAAACAATAGCGTAGATTTTTCTTTTTCTACTTTGTAATGTGAACATCACAATATTTCCTTGCAAAGAGATCCAAAGGTAATTTAAAAACAAACACGAAGCACTTTATAATTTACTTTGAAGCGTTGGCTAGCAAGCAGAATTTGACTGGTAATGAATCTTTGCCAGCAGAGGCTTCTCAAACAGCGAATTAGCAAAACAATGCCTCTGAATCACTCCTTGAAGGCTGTCTTTAACACAACCGCGCTGGTTTTGCTATCTCAGAGATTACTTTTGCAGGCAATTCAAGGAGATTAGTCACATCGAGTTACTACTTGCAAGAAAGTATCTGCATTACTTCCTTAAGGGTTAATGTAGAGAAAAGGCTAACAAATTTGATTCTCTTTCTTTAAACTGTTGCAGCTTTGAGAGGAGAATTAATCTTTGTCAATTTACTATTCTGTTCCAAACTGAACAGGTTGCTTTCTGTCCAATCCAAACAGATAGATAACTCAGAAGAATAAACAGAAAATGTTGCTTTTATTTCTAGGAATTCTAAACAATAACTCACTGTTATGTAGATCCATCCAGAAACATACTTTGCAATATTGGTTTATTCCCCAGGTAAATTGACATTCGATTTCCCCCTCTTCTCTTCCTGAGCGTTACATGTTGGTGAGGATCTCCTAACCATGCGGCTAGTGAACAAAGGATCCCATCTGGCTTGTATCCAGGAAGTCTCTCAATGACCTTTGATACTCCTCCCACTGACCCATCAACATACGTAGCATTTAACCCAATAACTGCCAGACAGTCCAACACACTGATACCTGCTCTCTAGTTAGGGCTACATAGAGCTATACGTTCCATGGAGCTATACGTTTCAGAATACTTTTAGTTAGTACCATCTAACCGCAGAACAAGATAGACAAGATAAAATTCTATAAGATATTGGGGGTCAGTGGCCATTGTATTGTGTTATAGTAATCCAATTTTGTGAAAAGATCCAGAAGAATACTGTGGACAATGGTATCAAAACCTGCTAAAA